TACCTGAATTTGAATCCTCATTCTGTCACTTAAGACCCATGTTACTCTGAATAACTTACACAAATTCATTCTCTTAGTCTGCATTCCTATAAAAAGCAGATGGTATAATGTCTTCCTTAGAAAGTTTGTTGAAATAAATGATATTGTAAAGAAAATGTTCATACACTCAGTTCATATACAATAAATTGCACAACTATTATCATTCTTATTCTTAGTTTCACTTTTTAAAGCATCTAACCATATACTTCTTTAAAATATAACAATTCAAATATAACAGTTTATCACAATTCCCAGGCCAAATAAAATTTGGCTTTAGAGAGAAAAATCATATTTTTCATTGTTGTGTTTTCTTTAGCTCCTAATGCTCCAATGCTGAGAACTGAAGTCCCTGGGGATGTGTTAAGTATGGTTGAATTAAATACTAAGAGAAAATATACAGAGGGGAAAAAATACTAAACAAGCAGGAGGAATTCCATATAGAATTTTTTTTAACTTATTAAACAATTAATAAAATTAGCTATTTGAGGTTGACCTACTCTCCCATGTCTTATCTGGACTTAGAATAAAGGGTTCTGAACACTACAGAAGCCAGTCATAAATGAGGAAAAACAGATTCCGGCTAGAAGATAAAACAGAGAATTAGATCCTCCCTGATTAAGTGTTGACCACAAAAAGACATAAACATACCTTGCCAGTTCTAAATCTATAGGTGAGTGGCTTCTGAGAAGGAAAAAAACTATTATAATTAGAAATATTGACTGTGTTGGGCTTCCGTAGGGAGGGTGGCCCACTCTGGCAGGTCAGATAAGAAATCAGCCTCAACTGATGGGTGCCTGTGGTTGAGGCAAGCATTGGTAAAAGGTATCTTAAAGGTGGAAGTGAACTTTTAGTGTCCTTGGTGAATAAGTGTCCATACTGAATAAGATGGAAAGAGCATAATCTATTCTTAGGCAGGGGGCCAATGAGAGAGCGTTGCTAGGATATGATCATAATCCCCAGAGGGCTAAGTGAAGAGTACCTAATTTAGGCCTGTGAATATCTTATCTTTGAAATCCCCAGCACTGCTCCTTGTAAAACCCAACCGTTTTTAAAAATGTGCTATTTTTCTAATATTTTATTGATTCCTATTTTGTTTAAATAGAAGATTTAAATATCTTCATAAAAACTCCAATTTTTACTAACTTTCACAGGAAAACCTTGGCAACAATTAAACATCTTTGCATAGCATAAGTGTCTAACGGTCATATTTCAAGTTTTATAGTTCTGTTTTTATGTAGGAATTGCAATGTCATTAGAAAAATTGAGTAATATTTATTAAAATTTAATATAGGGAGATGATTAATTTAAAAAGTGACCTTCTCAGAAGTCCCCAGAGAGAGGCTTTTCCCCCCCATCTTATAAAAGAGTAAGAAATGGCCAAAATACTCAACAAAAATCTAACAGACATACTATTAATAATCTCCATTCTTTAATTGGCCTGAGGCTTGATGAAGATGTTTAGGCAAATTTTAGTAGTATCATAACTTGAAAAAAGAAGAAAAAAGGTGAAATGAGATGCTTAAAGCCCCCATCCTAACCACGTCTACCAGCTCTGTCATTCAGCCACCACATTGGATTGGGAGTGGGTGGGAAGAGTGTAAAGCACAAGGACCCCAAAGTCAAAGGTCTGCTCTCTAAAAAAATGGTTCTACGCATGCTTTTAAGCAAGTAGCAGCCTCCCTACATTTTACATAATATTAGTGCCGACCCACAAGTTTTTGTTCAAAGGATTAAGTTTATCTTTGAAATGTGACCAGAACAGTGCCTGGCACAGAGTAAGTGCTAGACAAATGTTAGATACAATAAAAATAGAACAAAGGGAAAAGGAGACGTTGAAGAGAAGGGAAAGTGAGTGAGAGAGTTGGACTGTAGGCATTGGAAATTTTCGGAATGTGTGCCCTCTGAAGTGGTGAGATAAAGGAAATAAGAGACATTATTATCTCCCCAGCCCAATTCCACTTTCCTTCCTCTGAGTCCCCTACCCAGAACTACTATCAGTTTGTTTTCAAATCAACTACTTGACTTGTAAATTGATCATATTTAAGAATCATCTCCTTCCTGAGAGAAAAAATTATGCAGCCATGTTTTTTTCCAGGGGGATGGAAATTAGCATAGATTTACTCTTTAGTTTAAGTGGCCTAACAGGTAAAGATTCCCATAGATTATTTGGGGTGGTTTAGGCCAATATACTATGGATTATGTTTAAGAATTTAATAACCTGGATCAGAATGATGATGGTTAGTATTAATCACAATGAATTAAACATTAGTCCCTCAAAAGACACCTAGGGGTTTTCCTTTCTGCTTCTGAGAATTTATTAACTTTGGCACAGACTTAGTTATTTGGGATTCGGGCTGTGCAAATGTAAATAATGGAAAAGTAGGCTGTTTGGCCTCCATCAAGATTTGGGGAAAGACAAACTATAAACAACCATAATTAGAGAGAATTCAGATGCTTAACAAAGCTGAGAGAATAAATAACTCTGATAAATAACTTTCAACAAACCTTTTTAAAAACAGAGACTTATTAAGAAAAAAATTCCTGCTTTCAATTAGACAATTTTTAAAAAGATTTTTTACAGACCTTTTAGGTTTAAAGAAAAAGTGAGAGGAAGGCGCAGAGATTTCCCATATACTTCCTGACCCTCATAGGCATAGCCGCCCTATTATCAACAATTCTCCCCATAGGTGGTATATTTGTTACAATTGATGAACCTACAATGATACAGCATAATCACCCAAAGTCCGTAGTTTACATTAGGATTTACTCTTGGTATTGTGCATTCTATGGGTTTGGACAACTGTATAGTGACATATATCCATCATTATAGTATCACTGCCCTAAAAATCATGTGCTCTTCTTATTCATCCCTCCCTCCCAATCCCTGGCAACCACTGATCTTTTTACTGTCTTCATAGTTTTGCCTTTTCTAGAATGTCATATATTTGGAATCATACAGCATGTAGCCTTTTCAGGTTGGCTTATTTTGCTTAGTAATATGCATTCAAGGTTCCTCCATGTCTTTTCATGGATAACTTGTTTCATTTTAGTGCTTAATAATATTCCAAGTTCATTTTATCCATTCACCTACTGAAGGCATCTTGGTTGCTTCTAAATTTTGGTAAATGCATATATATATATATATATATATGTATATATTTAACCCTCACCCAAGGGTATTTTTCCATTGATTTTTAGAGAGGGAAAGACAGAGAGAAATCTCAATGTGAGAGAAACACATCAATTGGTTGCCTCCTGCATGTGCCGCCCCGACCAGGGCCTGGGCTGGGAAGGAGCCAGCAATTGAGGTATATGCCCTTGACCAGAATCTAACCCAAGACCCTTTGGTCTGCAGGCCAATGCTCTATCCACTGAGCCAAATCAGCTAGGGCTAAATTTCGGTAATTATAAATAAAGTTGTTATAAACATTCATGTGCAGGTTTTCGTGTAGACATGTTTTCAATGCCTTAGGGTAAATACCAAGGAGCACAAATAGAAGATATGGTAAGAGTATGTTTCATTTGTGAGAAACAGCCAAAGTCCCTTCCAAAGTGGCTGTACCATTTTGCATTCTCACCAGCAACGAATGAGGATTCCTGTTGCTCCATATCCTCAACAGCATTTGGTGCTATTAGTGTTCTGGATTTGTCGGTTAGAATAGGTGTGCAGTGATATCTCAGTTAGACAACTTTCTCATCAGTTAACTGATATATCAGAGCAGCATATCCCCCTAAATGTTGTTGTTCTTGTTTCTTATAAATTCCTCATCTTTTAGCTCATTCAGTAAAAAGTGATTTGTAAGTTGTAAGGGACTTCTTAGGGTACAGAGATAAATGTAGTCTAAGAGGAGGAAATATGTCAGCCTCCAGCTACTCTTGGCTGAAAGGTCTTGTTTAAAGGAGAGGTAGGCCCTAGGTTCTCAGAAGCCATCCTGCTGAGACCTCCACTGCACATGCTGGATTCAACTGACTTGATTTGACTCTTGTCCCTTCATGGAAAGGTTGTTTTGTTCTGCACACCCAGCTAGCATAGTTGCTTCAAAGTAAGAAAATTTTCTCCAGCTCTATTAATTTCCAGCTCTATGCCCCAAAAGGAAGTGGAGAACACAGCTTCTGCCTCTTACCAAGTCATCACTAATAAGAGAGATAATCTTCCCTTAACTGAAATACATATCTTGAAAATGCTTACACTCATGTGAGAGAAAAATACAGAACATTTTATAGGTGCTCATCACTGGAATATTTTTATTTAAGTCATAAAAATTGTCACAATTCATTTGCTAAATAGAGCAAATATGTATCTAACTTATGCCTAACAGTATACATTTAATATTAATAAAAATTAAATTTTATTTAATTTAATATTTGCAAGATAAATATTACTTTGTGTTATGTGCTGTCATTCTATATTTGATGTCTATAGTTTCTATTATACACAAAATTGTCAAAGAGACAATGAAGCTCTTAGAGATCTTTGTTTATCATTACCATCCACCCTCTTAATGCTTATTGTCACCAAATATTATTTATCACAAATTACTAAATCTCTGCCTAACGCTGATAAATACTTATTATTGTATAATTTTCCCTTGCCCTGACTGAGTCCAATCTCCTCACTTCAAAGTTATGTGTTCTCTGCCTCAAATTCTTCTAGGCCTGCCTAATAACTGACTAGCTATCCAATTTGGTCAATTCATTTGATTAAAGGCCATGTTAATATGCAATCCAATAAGATAAGCATCAATATATTTTACAGGCTCTCAATGCATATTTTAAAGGCCTTTAAAGAGTGATATGTGCATATTTCAGAAAATATCAATGATTATAGGGACTGTGACTTCAGTTAGGGGTCCTCTAGAACAGAACCCCAATTTATCCATGTAAGTGGTTCAGGATTGACTACATTTGGTTTACTTGGTCTGCAATTTTTCACTATTGAAGTAGACAAACAGAAATATTACCTCCACAGCAACAGCTCCAGCTTTTCCTCGGTGAGGAATTTCATATGCCTCCACTTGCTGCTTTGTGAATCGTACTAGCTTTTGAGCTAGTTCCCTCCAGCCTTTTCCCAGCTTGACAGCTGAAGTCAGGAGCGCAGCCTCTTGGATGATATGCGCTACTATCCCTTGGCAATCCATCTTCAGTAGGGCCTGCAGCAAGAATTACATGTCACAATTAAAAGCAACTAATGTGGGCTTTTCCCTAGAAACTCAATTTTTCATTACATAATCTAAAAACTGGCATCCTATTTTTCACCACACATATATTTGAGTTTCCTAAATTTTAAAAAGTTGATTTACTTTTAAGCAAATCCAACCAGCAAACTACAGAGGACACAGCTGGACCAAAATTAGAGGAGATTTAGGGCTAACTCAGTGGCTAAATATAGGGCCTTGGGTAAACCACTTAACTAATATGTTTCTTAATATCTTTAACTGCAAAAGGAGGATGTTGAACTAGACCAGTGATGGCGAACCTATGACACACGTGTCAGAGGTGACACGCGAACTCATTTTTTTGGTTGATTTTTCTTTGTTAAATGGCATTTAAATATATAAAATAAATATCAAAAATATAAATCTTTGTTTTACTATGGTTGCAAAGATCAAAAAATTTCTATATGTGACACGGCACCAAAGTTAAGTTAGGGTTTTTCAAAATGCTGACATGCCGAGCTCAAAAGGTTCGCCATCACTGAACTAGACACTTCTAAAGACATCCTGAGGTTCTAAGGGTCTATAGTTGATCAATTCAGGGATGATAATTCACTCTTCAAAAAATAATCCCTTTCCTTATCAGAGGATTGACTACAGTATTTCTCTGAGGAGCGAGCACATTGGTGCCAATAAACATTCTATTCTTCATTAAAATGTGATTTAAAATTCACAGAATTCTGCCATTGCATGTAAATGAGACACTACCACAACTTTGAACAAAGCTATTGATAATAATAACTTTAAAAAAATTATCCCTCTCCCTTCATCACTAGTGTAATTTTGCCTAATATAAACCATAAGGTATTAAAGATAAAACATTCAGTCTTCTATAATGCAAAATGGAATATCATCAGACTCTTCCTTAATTAGGCATCTAAGCCTTATCAATCATTACACATTTCAAACAAGTCCATGAGTTTCTTTTTTGCCTTGAATATATTTTTAAAATATGGGATTAAATCTATCTACATTTCTTTTTTGTTCAAATAAGCAAAAAAAAAAAAAAAATGTTGGGTGGCTCCTCATCATTTAATTGCACTTAAAAACACTGTCTATCATTATGAAACAATAAGTAAAAATAAATGACCAAGTAAAGTCACAGACGGTTCTTTCCCATGGAACCATTAGAAGGACTACCCATAGTCTTTATACTAGTACATAGCCCATACATTTATAGTGAGGATTTATAACTACAGGGAGAAGTAGTACTGAGCCATCAGGCCCCTAAGGTTCTTTTACTAAACTGAGGAGTGGGATTAGCTATGCTTATCTCAGTTTCTTGTTTCAAGGGGAAAAATCTGCACTTAGAATGCAAAACCTGAGTTTAAAGACCAGCTCCACATAGTACAGGACTTTAGGTAAATCTCAAAAGTATCTCTATTTAATGATTTTAAAAATAAATACAGCATTAATAACACCCCATCTAATTTCCTATAATCATTATGAAAGTTGAATCAGATGCTCAAGTACTTTGTAGAGTATCAAGTTGCAAGTATATAAGGACAGTCAGTCTCAATGTCTAGAGATGACTACAGAGTTTAGAACCCACAATCTTTATCAGCTCCAATCCAGCTACCCCAAATTAGGATACAATCCAAGAAAAATGTATACTTATTTGCAAATTAAGTTTCAAGAGGTGGCCTCTATACCATATTTTCCATCATCTTCTGGTCAGACAACCACACCTAAGCCCCTTCCATTTGGAAATCCTGAAGCCTCCCCTGGGACACCCTGGGAGTTTTTAGCAACTACATCCTTGAATAAGCCCTCCACCAGCACTGTCTAGTTTGTCACCAAAGCTACTCATTATCATACATCAACACAGTCAGGTTTAAACTTTCAGACCATTTGGCCAATATTACCTTTCTTGCCACTAAGTTCAACAAAGCAATTTTCAATTCAAATCTTCATGCAGTATATGAACTATGAGAGATAATGAGCTACTGCAAAATATATGTGCAGCTTTGACCTTGTAGATCAGCCAATGACTCTAAATGGCCCAGATTAAGTGATACTGCAGCACATCACCATAAAACTATACATTCAACTGCATAGGGGGCTTTTAAAATTTAACCCTTTCTGTATTACTGTAGAATCATCAAAATAATTGAAAGAGAAGAAATATTTTAAATATTCCTATTTCTTTATTACATAAATTATTGTTAATATCATTGAATAAACTCCTCTTTGACATCCCTCGAGGGGTCCCAGATTGTGAGAGGGCACAGGCCAGGCCGAGGGACTCCACTGGTGCACGATTGGGGCCAGGAAGGGATGTGGGAGGTTAGCCAGCTGGGGAGGGACCGCGGGAGGGCTCCAGGCCATGTCCAACCTGTCTCATTTAGTCCCGTTAGCTGGACCCCTATGGGTTGGAGTGTCTGCTCCTGGTGGTCAGTGCACATCATAGCAAGTGGTTGAGCCGCCTTAGCATATCATTAGCATATTATGCTTTGATTGGTTGAACAGATGACTGGATGACCAGACACTTAGCATATTAGGCTTTTATTATTATTTATACATTCACATTTTAGAAATTTTTAGAAGTATGCTCTTGATTTTTCTTATTTTTATAAAATACCAAATTTTCTTTTTAAGGCAAAATAGTTGATCATCTTCTTTATAACTCTCCACTGAGCCTTATACTAGGTTGAATATTATGAGGAAAAAAAATGATCCTGTGAGTTCTATTAAAACATGAGGATTAAGAAGAAAATAAGCAATATTATTTTGGCATTATGATGAATCACATACAGAAGAATATTAAATTGCTAAAGTAGAGGACATTGATTATATGTTTTTTAAAAACCACTATAAAGCAGACCTATAGCAAAGGCCAAGTTAATTAGTTTTGTTTCAGTTTGCTCTCATTCATGTAATTGGAATTTCTGATATTTTAAGAGTTATTCAAATATTTGGGAGAGAAAAAGAATCTCTTAACTATATGCTCTAGCACAAACAGAAACTTTAATCTTCCTTTAAAAGATGATCCTATGGGACTAGTTTCTGGATCTAAGAAACTAATTATATGGTCTTGCAGGAAAAGCTATATATGTATATACTGTAAATTGACTTCAAATTATTTGAGAATGCTAAGAATTTTTTATCTCCTTCTCTCATATGTTTGGTTATAAATATCACCAAGTTAATAAAGTTTTCTATGGTAAATTAATTACTGTGATCAAGCAATACTCACCACAACAAGCTCATAAAGAAACTTTCTGGTATTCTTGTCTCCGTGGCAATCTTCCTTTAACTTCTTTAAAACATAAGAAACTTTTTCTGATTCTTTGTCTGCATGTGTTCGTTCAAAACCTTCTAGTGCCAGATGTGAGTAACCCAGGACATCAGCTAAAACTTTCCAATCATAAACTTTTTCTGATACCAAAGTCAATATAACTGAGTAGATATAAGTCAGTTTTTTAAAGGGCAGGACAATTTGTTCAAGAAGGTTCCTGGTTGTGAAGACACGATCTGACATTGATATTACTTGCTCTTTTGTAATCACCTTGACATTTTTGCAGTGTACAAGTCCAATCTTACCTCGCAGGACTCCCACATACCATTCTTTCACTCTGGACTGCCCAATGGCTTTTATCTTACCTTCTCCAAGAAGAGCTATTGTGTCCCCTTTGATATATTCAAGTAAGTAGTCAATCTTGTTTTGTCTTAGCACTGTCTTCAGAGTCACTCCATATTTGGTAAAGTTTAATTTTTTGTCTTGAAATGTAGGGTATTTAACATACACTGCTGGTAATGAAGGAGCAGACTTTATTTCTTTCTCTTTCTGCAAATTACCTGGCAGATTTAAGTGTCTTTTTAGGTTTGGGGCTGGATCAGGTGTAGTGATAAAAAACTGTGTCACTGGTCTACCATTGGGAGGCCCCAACTGAACCTGGAAAACAAACAAGTGCATTTTTCTGGAGTCAACTAAAGAAAATAAAAATTGTTGATGAAGTACTTGACTTGCTTGCAAGTGCTTTTGTTTAAGTTCTTTCCTTTCTCCTTCTATCTTTACTTCAAAACCAGGATCACATGAAAAAACAGAAATACTTAAATCTTGCGGCTTGTCAAGTAAGAATGAATGCTTCCCCCAGAGCTGAAACACAACTGGAGAGGTGTTTTTTCCACCCTTCTTAATATCAGAGATTGTAAGCTTTCCTGGCATATAACTGTGTCCACAAACTGTGAAAACAATAGTGAAACTGGGATGGATATATTTGGGTCCATAAATTCCAATTGAGGTGGTTTTGTGGATATAATCCCAGATGGTGGCAGCTGGTGACTGAGTAGCTTTAGCTTGTGCAGCAACCACTAGATACATCACCTGACTCAAATCTATTAGCTTGACTTGGATGGTGTCTTTATAAATGTAGCAGTTGTTTAACACTGTGAAAGGGCCTTCTTTATTCGGGCTGTGTAAACACACCATTTCTGTCATGACTTGGCTGAAAGGATCCTTTCTCACTTCAGCCCCGATTTTCATCTCCAGCAAAATGGCTTCCATTGTGTTAAGGTTGCCTAACATGATTTCCAACAGTGGGCTTACAGTGCATGAAAGATCATGATTAAGCATTTGTGGAGGATCAAGAAAAACCCTTAGCGATACCTCTTGGAATTCACCCACAGCTACATGACCCTGGGGCACATGAACAGTGATATCTGATTCAGGTAATTGTACTGACCCTCCTTGGTGGTTTAACTTACAAACTACCACAGTCTCTGCAACTTGTGTTTGGGCCCATCCAGGACTCTGATTAATTATATTCAAATCCAGGCAGGAGCGGGCCAGCTGGCGTTGACTTAACCACGCCATTTTATAAGCCTCTCGATCATTTTGAAGCCATTCTAAGTCGTGTTCCAGGATCTGGTCAGAGTTACGTGTATTCTGATGGGCATGTGCTTTGTCATCTAATATGTCCAAAAGTTCTGAAACACTTTTAGATCTCACTGATTTCCTTGAGGAAGACTGCCTACACAACTGATGCACATCAAGTTCATCACCAGAGGAATCCAAAGAATTTCCAGTTTCAATTTCTCTTAAAAAGAGAAAAGGATCTTCCTTCAAGATGGAAATATTATTTTTCTTCTGGTTATTTCTTAGCTGAGTTATATCATCCAAAAATGGGTTAGAAGCAGACAGTTCATTCCAGAATGGATTTGTAGCTTTGGAAACATTATTGCTGTGAAGTGTGAAAGCATCTGGCCAATTGAGAAGCAAACTTGAGTCTGGACATTTGTGGCATTTTAGCAAAAACAAGGAAAAAACAGAAGTGAGTGTCATTGTGAGATACAACCAAGATTAATTTTTATTAAAAATTCAAGACTTTTTAATTGACAGTATAATAGGAACTGCAAAATTAATGTTAAATTTGGATAATTTTTCATGCTGTGAGAAAATGGAACTAGTTCCACCAGTTCATTTTGACCATACGTCATGCTATTTTATCTTCAGACATAATGATTTATAAATAAATAAATGTTTAACAATTTAGATATCAATTTAACACACTTCCTTCAAAAGGACCCAGACTAGATATACTTATGCCTTATTGTTTTGTGTTTGACTTTCACAAAAGAAAACCTCTGAACAAACAGAATAATTTAGTCAATTACCCAGATTTTTGTCTAAACATTAAATAGTTGGTCTCAATATATCTAGATTATTCATTAATTTTTTTCTTTTCTGATAATACTCAATATGTGAAAAATATCAAATATTATCAGTTAATAATTAAAATAACTTAAAAATAATAAGCCAAATAGACAATGCATTTTTAATATTATTTCCTGACAACTTTGTTGATAGATTTTAATTACATCAAAGCCTGGCCAGCATGACTCAGTGGTTGAGCGTTGACCTATGAACCAGAAGGTAGTCAGTTCCATTCCCATTCAGGGCACATGTCCAGGTTTCAGGCTCAATATCCAAAGTGGAGTGTGCAGGAGGCAGCTGATCAATGATTCTCTCTCATCATTGATGTTTCTATCTCACTCTCCCTCTCTGAAATCAATAAACATATATTTTTAAAAATTTTCATATACAATAAACATCAGATTAGGAAAGCATTCAGCTTTGATTTTCAAGTTTAACATGACAAAGAACAGGTTTACCACTATGAAATAAAAACATTGCTTTGAAAAGAGTATTTTAAGAATCAGCAACACATTAAAATAGTCAAATATCAACTGTAAAGAATTTCTACATATCTCACAAATATTGAAGTCCTTTTTATGTTGAGAGCTACTCAGACTTGGTCATTTCTCAATAAACAGTGGTAATGATTCTGTGGACTTTGTGTGGCTAGTAGTGCTTTAGTGAAAAATGAAAGCCAAGAGGCCAACCAAAAGAGAAAAGTGAGTTCAAGTAAACTGTCAGACTTTCTTTTATTAAATATACATATATATATATATATATTACTGTCAGACTTTTTTACTTTAATATTTATAGAACTATTACCTTGATTGAAATAAGTTTTTAGTGGCATATATTAAAATTTAGAAGATGCATTTTGAAAAAAAAAGTTGTATTTCTCCTATTTCTATACTTTCATCAAACCAGTTACATATAACTCTTAAAACTACTTTTCCTCTAAGGATAAATTTAGTTCTTTTATGCTTTATAAAGATTTCATAGCTCACTCCAACCTCTAGAGATGTCTTCAACCCCCAAATTCATTATATATTTACTGGTATTATATATACCACTCATTTAATAATGAATTTTGCCTCCTCATAATATTTATTGTAATCTGTTGCCTCCACTATTTTGTTCTTTTTAATAATAGTGTAAATATTTCTATGATAATAAGGGATTTTCTAATTCTTTTCATCTTTTGTAGCACTTTTCAGAGGTAGACTTGCAATAGCTGCTAGTACTGGATGAAAACATCACAACAATTATACATTCCCATACCTGTGATATTGCAATTTTTTGATGATTTTTGGGCTTCCATGTCAATCAAATTTCCTTCAGATATGCTTCGTGAAATTCCTCCTAACCAAACATGGGCTCTTTCACTGGTTAACATTTTTCCACCTACAAAGTGAAAAATAGACAACATGTAAGCATATATATGTTATCAGAGAAACCAAACTCAAGGTAATCACACATATTTAAGTAGAAAATCACATAGAAAAATACTCTCCGTAGGTCCTCTCTTTCTGGTAGGATGCTAGAGTAGATAAGTATCAGCACTTCATTGAAAAACACTCTGATCCTGGATTAATGCAAAAAAGAAGATCTAGAAATGCATTTGTAATCCTATAAAAAAGTAATAATGAAAATCCCAAGGATAATTTTTTTAAAAGCGAAGTGCAAATTTCAATAAATAGACATTCCCTGTTTGATGACTAAGACTAAAAAATCACAAAACTGGAATTCTTCCCCAAGTCCTTCTACACATCAATTCAGTTCTAATAAAAAAAAAATCACAATGTTATCTGATCTAATAAAAGACAAACATGCAAACTGACCACACCTTCACTATGCCTTAAACCACGCCCACCAGTCAATCAGAGTGACTATATGCAAATTAACCCAACGAAAATGGCGGCCAGCAGCCACGGAGCTGGAGCGAGCAGGAGGCTTGGTTGCTCCAGTGATGGAGGAAGCCAAGCTTCCCACCTGCCGCGGCCGGCTCCAAGCTCCACTGAAGGCAACAAAGTTTCAATTATAGAAGGTAAATAAATCCAGGAAAAAAAAGAAGAAAAAAAGGAGAGGCTGGGAGCTTCCATCGCTGGGGGGCTTGGCCAGCCTGAAAACGGCCCTCAGCCCCTCACCCAGAATGGCCAGGCAACCCAGTGGGGACCCCCCCACCCTAAAGGGGGTGTGGCCAGCCTGAAAACAGCCATCAGCTCCTCACTCAGGCTGGCCAAACCTCCATGGGGTGAGGGGCCTCACTGCGGGGGACTTGACCAGCCTGCAAACAGCCATCAGCCCCTCATCCAGGCTGGCCAGGCACCCCAGTGGGGACCCCCACCCTGAAGGGGCTGTGACCAGCCTGCAAGCAGCCATCAGCCCCTCACCCAGGCTGGCCAGGCATGCCAGTGGGACCCCCACTCTGATCTGGGACACTCTTCAGGGCAAACCAGCTGGCCCCTACCCATGCACCAGGCCTCTAGCTTATATAATAAAAGGGTAATATGCAAACTGACCCTAACAGCAGAACAACTGGGAATGACTGGTCACTATGACACACACTGACCACCAGGGGGCAGACGCTCAATGCAGGAACTGCTCCTGGTGGTGAGTGCACTCCCACAGGGGGAGCTCTGCTCAGCCACATGCCAGACTGACAGCTGCCAGTACAGCGGTGGTGGTAGGAGCCTCTCCCACCTCCTCAGCAGCACTAAGGATGTCTGACTGCAGCTTAGGCCTGCTCCCCTCTGGCAAGTGGACATCCCCCAAGGGTTCCCGGGCTGCCAGAGGGATGTCTGATTACCAGCTTAGGCCCAATTCCCTAGGGAGCGGGCCTGAGCCAGCAGGTGGTCATACCCCGAGGGGTCCCAGACTGAGAGAGGGCACAGGCCGGGCTGAGGGACCCTCCCCCCAAGTGCACAAATTTTTGTGCACCCGGCCTCTAGTGTGTATATAACATATGACATATATATGTGTGTGTGTGTGTTTGTAAGTCCTTATGCTATTTTAAAATGTATATATTATACCTTGAGAATATTATGCTAATTGAAATCAGTCAGAAAAAGCTAAGAATCATATGACTTCACTCTTCTCTATATATATAAAATCCTAATATGCAAATTGTTCCCTCAGGAGTTCAACCGGGAGACCTGGAGTTCAATTGCTCGCTATGATGTACACTGACCACCAGGGGACAGCACAGAATGAAGGAAGGCCCCCAGCCGGCAGCTGGCATTCAGGGTAAGGAAAGCCCCAATCGGCCCTGATTGCCAACCAGGCCTAGGACCCTACCCATGTGGAATATAAAACTGAAACTCATAGGCAGAGAAGAAGGGGGTTACCAAAGGGAAGGGGAATGGGGGAGTACAAGAGGGTAAAGGGGTCAAATATATGGTGACAGAAGATTATTTGACTCTGGGTGGTGGGCACACAATGTGATATACAGATCACATAGCATAGAAATGTACACTTGAAACCTATATAATCTTATCACCAGTGTCATGCCAATACATTTTATAAAAACTAATAATAAAAAAGATCACAAAAAAGAAAAAAACAGAAAGCAAAGGGCTAATATTCAAAATAACTCAGAAGAAGATTACAAAAATAATGTACACCACAGATACCAGCATTCATTGTAAATAAGTGCTGAGTAAGACAATATGAAATTGGAACAGAATTAGACTAAACACACAGAATACTCCCAGAAGTAGACTCACCCTCACAAGGCAAAAAATGGGAGAAGATATACCCATTACATGTGACTAAAGAAGAAAAAAGGACTAAATTCCAAAATATATCAAGATTTCTACAAATCACTAAGCAAAATAAAAACATTATTAAAAATTTTGGAGGGAAAATATCTGAACAAGCATTTCTCTGAAAAATTAAACACAATGACCCCTAAATAAATAAAATATGCTCTATTTATTAATAATAAGGGAAATGCTAAATAAAACCACATGAGATACAATTAGTACCAATCAAATGTGCAAAAATATTTAAATCTGGCAACACCAATTATTGGCAAAGATGTCAGGCAAAGGGGAACCCTATACACTCCTATTGGAAGTATCAATAGGTACAACCGCATAGAAATCAATCTGGCATTGTCTAGGAAAGATGCTTACAGCCTACTCCCCACAATTCCAATCCCACTTATTTGTTCTAGTAAAACCTCTATATGTTCATTAGAAAAGATATACATAAGAGTGTTCATTATATTATATTAACAGGAAAGTGAAATCAACCATAATATCCTTTGTTATATGAATAGATAAAGAAATTGTGTCTTAATATACAGTAGTATCATGTAACTATGAACACAGATAAATTACAACTAAAAGTATCAAAATGTACTAAACTGAAACTTAGCCTAGGATTTTTATGCTTTTGTATGCAATTGTAAATGGGATTTTTTTTTTTAAATTCCTCCTTCTGGTTACTCATTATTAGTGTAGTAGAGGCCCGGTGCACAAAAATTCATGCACTCAGGGGGGTCCCTCAGCCTGGCCTGTGCCCTCTCGCAGTCTGGGAGGCCTTGGGGGATGTCCAACTGACAGCTTAGGGGAGTGCGCCTAAGCCGCCAGTAGGACATACTTAGCGCTGCTGCAGAGGTGGGAGAGGCTCCCGCCACTGCCTCTGCACTCGCCAGCCATCAGCCTGGCTTGTAGCTGAGTGGCACTCCCCCTGTGGGAGTGCACTGACCACCAGGGGGCAGCACCAGCCCCACCCCCATCGCCCAGCCACCACTGCTGGTTGCTGCTGCTCCCCAATCTCTGTCCCCTCCCTCTGCCTGCTGGCACCCTCCTTGGCTGGCCTGCCACCCGCTCGCCGGCCCTGCCCCTGCCCACTGGTCATTCCGCAGTTTGGTCAATTTGCATATTAGGCTTTTATTATATAGGATAGGAATGCAACAAATTTCTGAATATTAATTTTATATCCTGCTAAAAAGTTTTTTTAAATCAGATTTTACAGAGTGCAAAAATGAATAGCAGCAATGAGACATAAGTAACCTACAAGGTCAAACAGCTGGTGAGTGATTAACTCAGAAATAATTACTCATACACAGTTCAGCTACCCCATAGAGCTGGACATTGTAACCCCTTGTCAGACTCAAGTATATTCTGAGACTACCACCTTCTAGTTCAAATTTACATTCATGCTAATTTCCTCACTTCTTGTTCTCCTTCATGTGTTAACCACATGTCTTTCAATGTTGACTCTTCTTTTTTGTGATATTCATCTTTCAAGTATTTGACATTTTACTTCCAAGAAGTTTATTTCATTTTTAAAAGAAATCAAGCCTTTTCTGGTATAAAGAGCAAATTAAATGAAGAGAGGACGAAAAAGGGAGGAAAGAAAAGGAGAGGAAAGGCATATTTTCCAAACATGATGAATAAGCAAATGCAAAACTTATATCAGAAGGTGCCATACTTTAAAACATCAAATGGGGCAATAGCAGTTTTTTTCCTTTGATAGTTGAAACTACACGGAAAGATTGGGCGAAAAGCTGAATTATGCAATATGCAATTTGCACTGAAACCTCAAGTTTCCTGGCAGATCTTCAAAATTTTGTGGTTGATTTTACCAACTATAATGTCAAAATCTAAGAGTCCTTAGGACGCCTCAGGTAGCTAAAACTTTGAGATAGGAAAACTAAGTTCACATCCTTCAACAAAATTAAGCAAATAAACATAAAATATGAAAAAATTTAGATGCAAAAGTATATTTCAAAAAGAGAAAGTACATTTTCAATTGAAAACCAATTTAGATGGATCTACCTAAACTCTAATTTCTTGTGGGGAAACAAGCAGAAAGAAAATTTATACCTAGGATTCCTTTGAGACAAACAACCCTTGATGTAAAAAATAGTTATAATCCAGTCAAAATAGTTAGGAATCCTCACCCATATAAACACCAGGAATGGTGCCTTATGCAGCTATGATTCTGGAAAATCATAACATTTCAGAAACAAAGGCACAAGTTGATGATTAGCTAAAATTCTTTCTGGTCACCCAAGCAGATCTTCACTGTCCTTTAAGCCAGTGGTCCTAAATCTCAGCTGTACCAAAATCACCTGGAGCGCTTGATCAACGCTGTTTGCTGGACCCAGCCCAGCGTTTCTCATCTTGCACCCAAGAATTTGTATTTGTAACAAGTGACCCAGTGGTGTGATGCTGTAGTTCTGGGGGCCATGTTTTGAGCACCACATTTTGAAAACCCTCATGTTAATTTCTTTCCCTGGCTAAGCGAATTTCTCCCTATTCTCTGGCTGCTCCCACTAGTCTCCTCCCAATCTTTTTATGTACACACACACACACACACACACACACACACACACACACACTTCACAGGATGTCATCCTAAATCTGGGTTTTTTCCTATGAATACAGGGAGAGCTGGTATAAGAGGAAAGCCTTTGACCAGAAGGCCCACCTGTGAAGGGTAGTGCTTGTTTACACAGGTACAAATAGCCAACCACATTTATCATTTCCCTGTGTTTTCTCCCAATTAACTTTATACTCAGTGGCAACTGTTGTCCTAGATAGAAATGTTTAAAACTTTGTCTAAAGAAGCATGAGTCAGTCTTTGTTGGAATGAGTAAGTGGTAAAGGAGCAGTCTTCTACTCACTTAAATGGGGACAACATTCTTGACAATATGCCTTTTCCAACAAACTTATTCTGATTCTACATGATTCATTATTTTTTCCATAAAAAGATGAATAAAATTTTGCTTTTCATTTAGTTTACTGTTTAAACCAGGCTTTAAATAACTGAGAATATTCACTAAGTGTACAAATTAGCAAAAAATATCAGATTTATTTTTTTGGGGGGGAGGGGCATGAGTTTACAAAATAATAACCAGGGAAGCAATACTGTTTAATATAATTATTTCTTTAAAATGTATTCTTTTGAAGTCATGTTTATGGTGGCTAGTATATAGTGAAAATTGCTATTTTTAGCTATCCAGGAGGTTCAAAGTAATTTCCAAATAGTCCTTGAATACCTCAGATCTCCTTTATGTTTCTATGATCTATACTGCTTTTAACTCTTGACCTATGTAATATTAAAAGTACTTCCATGCAAGCTATAACTCTTTTTTAAAATATGTTTATTGATTTCAGAGAGGAAGTAAGAGGGAGAGAGAGATAGAAACATCAATGGTGGGAGAGAATCATTGATCTGCTGCCTCCTGCATGCCCCCACTGGGGATCGAGCCTGCAACCCAGGCATGTGCTCTGACCAAGAATCGAACTGTAACCTCCTGGTTCATAGGTTGATGCTCAACCATTGAGCCACACCGGCCTGGCACTGGCTATAACTCTTATAGGTGACAGTAAATGCTAAAATGTCAGAAGAGCAATTATTGGAGAGGTGGATTCCTTCATTTCCTTAAGGCCAAACCTAACCAAATAGGTTGGCATTCCCTTGTATATGTGACTGCCCGAGTGGATCACAAAGGAACTATAACCAACTGATGATGCTTCCCTGGTGTGTATGAAGCTTTTACTGGATCATGGTGTGTATGGTCTCATTGGATGTTACCCTAGGCCGTGGTCAGCAAACTGCGGCTCGCAAGCCACATGCGGCTCTTTGGCCCCTTGAGTGTGGCTCTTCCTAAGCCTTAGGAGTACCCTAATTAAGTTAATAACAATGTACCTACCTATATAGTTTAAGTTTAAAAAATTTGGCTCTCAAAAGAAATTTCAATCGTTGTACTGTTGATATTTGGCTCTGTTGACGAATGAGTTTGCCGACCACTGCTAGGGCATCTTCTGATGGGCATCTTCTGATTGGTAGTGTATATACCCACGAACAGTTTATCACTGGTCATTATTACTAAAGATTTAAAATACCTAACAGGAAAAAATTACAGAAGTCACTTATCTTTTTAAAAAAAGGCTTTATGAGATTCTCCAAGGACCCTGGTGCATTAAACTGTATTAGCAATGCACAATAATTTTGATGATGCCTCCAATCTTGGTAACTCAAAACATCCTGTCAATATGTTATCTTGTTAATATCAGCATGTCAAACTATCACTTTCTTCATACTCAGGATCTTTCCAGCACTGGCAGAACTGAAATTTTGGAAAATTAAAATATTTGTGCAGGATAACATCATATTAGTGAGCACAAATCAGAAACAGAGAAACAGTAGATCAGAAATTATTTTATGTCCAGCTAAATGATGTAGCCAAAGAACCTTCCCAGAAACCTCATTCTGGAAGGGAACATGTAAGGACTCTCACCAGATTCACAAAGGAATATTTCAGGGCTGTAAAATAACAAAACAAAAAAATCCATCATAAGGGCTTTTATTGAGTGCTTCCTATATTCCCAATACCATGCATGAATTTTCTCATTTATAATTTGCAACAATTCTAAAAAGTTTGTTCTATCATTAGTCCCCTTTTAAAGATAAAGAAATCAGGTTTAAGGGATTTATTTGCCCAGGATTGTATAGGTGTTAAGCAGCAGAGCCATGGTTTCAATTTAGGGATACCAGACTCTAGAGAACAAGCTTTTGAAACCTACACTGCGCTTCCTACGCATAGGTCAGACTTTCCTTCCAAAGGAAGTAAGATTTGGGACTATGCCTTAGGCTTATTGCCGGGGAACATCAAACCTCATTCATGATCCCAGGAGATCTTCACCAAGTTCACAGCAGGGCCCACAACATGAACATGTGATCTGTGCAGTCATACAGGGTCGCTTTCTCACAGAGTCTTTATGCTTGGCGTAATGGTCTGCTGTTGCCATCCTGAAATACTTAATATTGTGGTTAACAACAAGTCCCATATTTTTATTTTGCACTGAGCACTGCAAATTATGTAGCCAGTCATGGTTCATGAAGTTGGAAACCCTTAGCCTTCAGACCCAAGGGAAATGACTACAAGTATAAGTGCTCATGGAGAAAAGCAAAAAGCATTATTAGAAAGGTGAAGAAGGCTCATTTTACAGATGACAAAAGTGAGCTTCAGAAAGACTAAATGAATCGCCCAAGGTAGCAGGTTCAGAAATCAAACTGTTATCTCCTGATCAGAACTTCTTAAAAAGGAGGATATGAGAATAACTAGTTTTACCCATTCCATGAATTCTATAAGAGTAAAATATGAGTTATTTTAAAACTCTGATGCTATTTCATGTCACAAGTAATAATAGCTTAGATTTTAAGACTTTGAAGCAAAAATAATGAAACATTTAACTCACTGAGAGTGAAATAAAGTGGTCTCTAGCCTCATGCTCCCCTAGAATTATATATCCTACCAAACAAGGACTACCCCCTCTTCCTCACTCTTCAGAGGGCATTTTAGCAGCTATTGACATTATTTCTTGGGACAAGAATAACAAAGGAGGCCCCGAGGTACAGTAGGAAGAATGCAGGCTTTGAAATTAGACAGATATGGGTTCAAAGCAAAGCTGACAAATGAATTCACTGGTCTGAGTATCACTTTTCTCACCAACAGAATATAAAATATCTACTTTAAATAGTTGTTGTAATGGTTTGTGAATTATATCTCAATGAAGCTTTTTTTTGAAACAAACCTTACTATAAAGATTAAATTAAATACCATAAATCCCCAGCTAACACGAAATAGCTGCTTAAAATGACAATTCTTATCTGTTTTATTTTTCACATCTGTGCAAATTCTGTTGGTTTTAGCAAGAATAATGAGTGGCTACTGACAAAGATGCTTAAGGAATATTGTAAAAGAGGAAGAAGAAAAATTACTGTGAAATTTTAATTGCTATTTTAGCTTAATTGATTGTTCAACCTGATAATGTTCTTTTCACTTCTCTAAAGAGGATAATTGAAAAATTACTGTGTTATATGATAACCAATCTTTTCAGTAAACACTTTCCCCACTACTATGGATAGAAATAATTATAAGATTCCCAATAGGCTTTGCCAAGAGAAAAAAAAAAAAAACCCTCTGACAAACATTTTGTGTACACCCACAGTCTTCCTTGGTTTGAACTTAGAACACTGGTGTGAATGAATCATTTATATATCATCTGGCAAACGGACCTCTTGACAGAGGGTAAATATGAATGGTGAGTCGCTATTAAATGAGAACAAAATGTTCATGCACCAATAATTGCTGTGGGAAGGAGCACAGGAAAAGGTTGGTGGAACTGATAAGATTAAGGAAAGGAACACACATTATGCCACATCATCCAATGTGTAAAGCAGGAGTTTCCCTTAAATTCTCAACAGTTTATTACATCTAATTTTTAATGTTTCAGGGAATCATAGTGGGTTTTTGTGGTCAATTTCATAAACTGAGAATTGTGTACAAAGTATGAACTGTTTATCAAAGCAAAAACTTGAAAAATACTAATATGTGTTCATATCTGAATATATAGTAAGACAGGCAGACGTAGGTATAAATGTATGTACATATATAACTTAGCTACACAAGAATAGTTTATTATTAGTAATGCCTCACTGTTCTGGAAATTGGGAAGTAAAATATTATTTCCTTTCTGAGAGATAATTAAGTCTTCAAAATTTCACTTATTTGAAGACAGTATCACGGATTGATGAAGTGCAAAAGAAGTCTGAAGAAGGAAGCTAAGAGAGACCAAAATTTTCCTGTGTAAGAAAGGAAACTGACTGAGGGGCTTGGAGGTTCCAACTGTGGGTGATTGCAGCCTAAAAGGGAGATGGGTAATAAGATATAACCAAGGAGAATACTCTCAGTGGAACACTGAGAGGTATACTTTGTCAACCCTACCATCTACTTGGTCCATTCAGAAATATTCATATTACTTACTGATGCAAAAAAAAAATTTTAGTGAATAAGAGTTGTTGAGACCTACTCAAAGGCATGAATAACAGGAAAACACAGCTGCTCAAAGGAATGAATACATAATCAAGGGGGATCATCCATCAAGCTGGGTTTGCCCAGGATGGCCCCATTTTGAAACTAAACTCTCTCAGTCCAGGGAAAACCAGGGTAATTGGTCACTGTGATTACACAGATAGGGTATAAATACATGGCCCCACATTGAGGATGTGAAATAGTCAATGTAAATTCCTTCTACTTGAACAACATTTTTAAATATTTAAAACCACTATGTAGAAAATACAGACAGATATATTTGAGTTGTAAAGAAATAACTAATTTTAATGTTTAAATTACATTTTTTTCATTCGATTTCAGGTGTTAAATTCTAATAAAAACAACAAATTAAATACAAAGGAAACCATTTGGAATAAAATAAATAAAACTGTCTATCACTGTCTTCTTTATTTTATTAAATCAGTCTGAAAGATTGAGCCCCCTCACCTTGCAGCCCAAAGAACTTCCAACCTTTCAGAAGGAGCGCTGCCTTTCCCTTCCTCTCCATTTCCCCTTTTTTATTTAAAACAGTGAAATACTGAGTTGGGAGTAGTGTGTCCTTCTGCTGAAACCCACACTGCTTCATGGGAGCTGGTGGGTTCCTTGTATTTAGCTGGAGAAACTTGAAGGAGCCTCAGAGTTGTGTCCACAGCACCTCGTGGTGCCAGGTCGGGACCTCTTGGGCTGCTGCTATTCCAGAACTTGTGATGGTCTTGCTTCCAGCCCTCTAACCGGTTGCCCTAATGAGTTTAGTGTAAAGTAGTGGTCCTCAACTAGTCCTCTGCATCAAAATCAACTGTGGAACTTTAAAAAAAAAAATACAGATGTACAGTTTTATCCCAAGACCACAGTGTGGAACCCAGATATCATTTTTTTAATTTTTGTATTTTTTACTAGAGGTCTGGTGCACAAAAATTTGTGCAGTCGGGGGGGGGGGGGTCCCTCCCAGGCCTGTGCCCTCTCACAGTCTGGGACCCCTCAGGAGATAACGACCTGCTGGCTTAGGCCTGCTCCTGGGTGGCAGAGGACAGGCCCAATCGCTAGGTGCAGCCCCTGGTCGGGCTCAGAGCAGGGCCGATTGGGGAGTTGGGGTGCCACCCCCATCATGCACAGAGTAGGGTGGATCGGAGATTGCGATGCCACCCTCAGTCATGCTCAGGGTAGGGCCAATTAGGGGGTTGGGGCATTGCCCCGTCAAATTCAAGGCAGGGTCGATGGGGAGGTTGAGGCGCCACCCCCTGTCACTCACAGAGCAGGGCCCATCAGGGGTTTGGGGCACTGCCCCCTGTCACGCACAGAGCAGAGCCCATCAGGGGGGTTGGGGCTCCATACCCTGTCACGCACAGAGCAGGGCCCATCAGGGGGTTGGGGCACTGCCCCCTGTCACACACAGAGCCGCAGAGCGATCAGGGGGTTTGGGCTCTGCCCCCTGTCACACTGATCGCGGTGCCGGGAGGCCTCTCAGCTCCGCTGATCCCAGTGCTGGGAGGCCTCCCGGCTCTGCTGATCCCGGTGCTGGGAGGCATATTACCCTTTTACTATATAGCATAGAGGCCTGGTGCACGTGTGGGGCCAGCTGGTTTGCCCTGAAGGGTGTCCTGGATCAGGGTTGGGGTCTCCACTGGGGTGCCTGGCCAGTCTGGGTGAGGGGCTGAGGGCTGTTTTCAGGCTGGCGGTTGACTGAAGTTCCCAACTGCTCCTTTTTCTCTTTTTCTTTTTTTTTTTTATTCTGGGCCAGCTTTAGCTCTGGCTCCAGCTCTGAGGCCTCTGCTGCTGAAAGCAGGTATCTGGTTTGTTTGGGTTCTATAATCAAAACTCTGTATCAACTCCAGCTCTGAGATCCCGGCTCGGCTCGCTGAAAGCAGGTTTCTGGGGTTTTGTTCAGCTTCTATATTTGTAACTATGTTTCAAACTTCAAGTTCAGAGGCCGGCAAGGCAGGCAGGGAACGTTGGAGTCCTCTGTCACTGAAGCAAGCAAGCCTCATGTTAGTTTCAAGCTGCCTGGCTGCCGGCCGCCATCTTGGCTGGCAGTTAATTTGCATATCGCCCTGATTAGCCAATGGGAAGGGTAGCGGTCGTACGCTAATTACCATGTTTCTCTTTTATTAGATAGGATTGATTAAGTTATTACATATGTGTCCTTATCCCCATATTACCCCCCAAATCCCTCCCCCACTCATGCCCTCACCCCCTGTTGTCTGTGTCCTTTGGTTAGGCCTATATACTTGCATATAAGTCCTTTGGTTGATCTCTTCCCCTTACCCCCACCCTCCCCTACCTTCCCTCTGAGGTTTGACGGTCTGATTGATGCTTCTCTGTCTCTGGATCTGTTTTTGTTCATCAGTTTATGTTTTTCATTATATTCCATAAATGAGTGAGATCATGTGATATTTATCTTTCTCTGACTGGCTTATTTCACTTAGCATAATGCTTTCCAGTTCCATCCATACTGTTGCAAATGGTAAGAACTCCTTCTTTTTTACCGCAGCGTAGTATTCCTTTGTATAGATGTACCACAGTTTTTTAATTCACTCATCTACTGATGGGCACTTAGGCTGTTTCCAAATCTTAGCTATGGTGAATTGTGCCAGATATCATTTTTATAAAAATTACCAGGAGATTCTGATGCATAGGGAAGACAGAGAGTCATCAAATCATAATTATAAAGTGATGGGAATATATTTGTTTTGTTTTGTTTTGTTTTAGACAAGCATATTACTAGACATAATAAAATACATGGCAGCTCAAGATGCCCATCTCTACAAGTCAATCCTTCCAGGGGTGAAGACACTGCCCTAGACTTGGGATTTCAGGGTGATCAATGAAAAACCTTTTCCTGGTATAGGTAGGGATTACATCTAAGACCAGCTCTGCTCTTACAGTTTGGGACAAATACTATCTCCCTCAGTATACTTTGTTGGG